ACTCATTGCTGCCAATAATTCTTAAAAATGCATGTGATTCCCATGGAGGGCAAAGACTTACCAACTGACGGATGTGCAGATCTTTGTAGCCGGCCTCCCCCTGCGCCCCCCCCCCCCAATCATCAGGGCTTTCTCTGAAAGAAATTATCCCAGAATTCCTGCTGGAGAATTTTCTCTATGGTGGAGAATCTTTCATGAGGCCCCTGTTTTTTCATTTTGTAGCAACGTAGGTTACTCACGCTGCTTTTCTTTCTCTAGGAATCAACTCAATTATATCACAGAAGAACTTAAGAACCCTTTCAGGTGAGAAAGCCGTGGACAGGCAAGCGTCCTTCTCTTTTCCCAAGCAAAAAGGGAAACCGCTTCCCCCCATGATTCCAGACCCCCTTCCAGACATTGCATGGTTTTTTGTAAGCTCATTTCCACCCGGTAAGAGTTTGGTTTGGTTTTGAGTAGTGGAATGGTTGCTGAGAGAAAGGAAGAACTCTAACTTTAGCTCTGGCTTATTTTTGCTTTATAAACAATTCAAGGAAAACAATTCAATGTACTGCCCTGGAAGTCTGACAGAGGGAGGGTTCTTTCTCATTTGAAGATGTCACATGTCCCCACTGGGGTGCTACTATTTCACAAGCCCCCTGCCTGGGTGGGCCTCCAGGAGGGCAGCTGTACCTCCAGCCCCCTACAGAGAGCAGGCAGAGGGAGGGCTGGCCAAGGCGGGGGAAGAAAAGAGTGGACAAAAACAACAATCTTGTGAGTTCCTCAAGGGATGCTCTGGTCTGACCCTGAGCCCCCCACCCCCACCCCACCATGTTCTTGCCCCTCCTAGAAACTTGCCCCTGGCCATCATCATTGGGATCCCGCTGGTGACAGGGTGCTACATCCTCATGAACGTTTCCTACTTCACTGTGATGACAGCGACCGAGCTCCTGCAGTCGCAGGCGGTGGCCGTGGTGAGTACTCAGGTTTCTCTGCGGGAGACTGTGTTCTGTGAGAAGGGGACATGCTCAAGCTGAAGTATCCTCACGGGGGAGGAGGGGAATAATTGTCTAGGAGAGAGGGACAGTGACCAGGTTAGGGCAGCACTAAAGACCCACCTGAGGTTAAAGGCCCCCAGCCGGGTGGAAGGTTCCCATTTGCCAGGACACCGGCAGCCTGAGTGCCAGCACACAAGATTAGTCGGACCAGGGCTGGCATTTTGGCAGACAGGTCTGAGGGCGAGAAAGTGCAAGGCAGTCACTGGAGGAGGGAGTTATTTAATAATGGGTTGTGGAATTGAAGCTGGGTAAGGAGGGAGGTGAGGACGGCAAGGGTGGGTGTGAGGGACAGTGGAAAAGGTGGGTGGGACCCATGTGCTGGAGGCCTCCTGGGGTTGGGGTAGGACAGGAAACGAACAAGAAACAATGAGGTGACGGGGAGGGGGAGCATGGGAGCTGTAGTCTTGCTTATGATGAGGTCACCGGGCTGAGGTGGGAGGGAGAACAAGGTCATTCTGAGTGAGGGGGCCGCATTAGTGAGAGGCCAGGGTGTCCAAACGATATGGAGAGGATGAAGAATTATGACCGGGAGAGATGGATGAGAGATTTCTGTTACCATTAAAAGATACCGAGATACTCTGAAGAGGAGAAAAGAGGCCCGGCTGTTTCTCTCCCGTGTGCTTCTCAGCTTTTCCTCTCTAGGAGGGGTCAGAGGCTGTGCCCAACTAGGGGGCGGGGATCCAGGCCCTCTGGGACAGCGCAGTGGCTTTCTTGGGACCCACGGGGGACAGGGCAAGACTCTCAGGACTCATCTCACTTCTCTCACCAGACATTTGGTGACCGTGTTCTCTATCCAGCCTCCTGGGTCGTTCCACTCTTTGTGGCGTTTTCAACCATTGGTGCTGCTAACGGGAACTGCTTTACAGCGGGCAGGTAGGGGACCCCTGGCACTCACCCTTGGGGACAGGGGGCACCAGGGCCAATTGCACACTTGAGGAAGACAATTCCTTAGGGCTATGCTGGGTTAAATCCCTCATGGCACAAGCAGGAAACCTGACGCTTGGACAAGCTTGCACACTGACCTGGCCCCACCGAATCGAGGCCCTAGGTTCCTCGTCACGGGAACAATGCTGCCAATTCCAGCAGTAGGCAGAGTCTGGTGACATGGGGTGAGAGAGGCACTGGTTTACATGTAGTACTTTTCACCTTGTACTTTAAAAAAAATTTTTTTTTATTGGGGAGCAGCCACGGTCATTGGTTACACACGGCTTTCATGCTACAATGGCGTAGTTGACTCTTTTAAGGAGGACACAGCTCACAGTGGCCCATGCAGGGATCGAACTGGCAACCTTGGTGTTATCAGCATGATGCTCTTACCAACTGAGCTAACTGGTTACCCACCTTGTACTTTTTTTCAATCTAATGCTATTTCTTGAATAACTTCTGTTAATGTATATACAATCTAGACCAGGGATTGGCAAACTTTTCCTTAAAGGGCCAGATAGTGACTATTTTAGGCTTGAAGGCCATAGAAGTCTGCCACAACGACTCAACTCTGTCGTTGTGGCCTGATAGCACACAGCTGTGGTTATGTTCCACTAAACCCTTATTTAGAACAGGCCTAGTTTCCCAGCCCTGCAGAACCTTTTGACCCTACTGGTCTGGAGACAGTTAACAGCTGTGTCCTCCTCCACCTCACAATGTAGCATAATTTAACATGACCTCCACTCGCGGGCGACATGGGGGTTATTTTCATAAACACTGCTGCAGGGGACATTCTTTAACACATCTTTGCCCAGTTGTCCAGCATTNGGCTGCACCGGAATGTCGAATGGCCAGAACTCAGGGTAATCCAATGAGAGAGCAGCAGGGGGGCCCCTGTGAGCCTGGCCCCCGGAGGGAAGGTGGGTTCTCTCTCCCAGGGCGACACCTCACCAGGGGCTTGGGGTCCCCTTGTCTCTGCGTTCCAGGTGCTCTGTGCTTTGCAGAACTTGGGACAATGATCACCAAGTCAGGGGGTGAATACCCTTACCTGATGGAGGCCTTCGGCCCCATCCCCGCCTATCTCTTTTCCTGGACCAGCTTGTTCGTCATAAAGCCCTCATCCTTCGCCATCATCTGCCTCAGCTTTTCTGAGTATGCTGCTGCGCCCTTCTACTCCGGCTGCAAGCCTCCTGAAGCTGTCGTTAAATGCCTGGCTGCCGCTGCCATCTGTGAGTACCCAAATCCGAAACCCTGGGCAGGGGTCAGAAAAGACCTGGCACAGACGAGGTGGGTGCACTCTGGCCTTGGGCACATCCAGAAAGCAGTCGAGTGGGCTTGCAGGGAGGTGCGATGCGGGGCAGGGTCTATCTAGTCTTGGCCCAAAGCCTGTTGCCCTCTGCTGCCCCTGCTCCACAGGGGTGGGAGCTGTCAGGCAGTGCGTGTCTCAGACTGTCTGCAGGGCAGCGCTGGGCTGGGGCCTGGATACTTCTCCATCATCCTCAATTTCAAAAGTTGTCATCAGGAGCATCTGCTGAATGTGGTGGTGGAGAGAGGAAGTTGGGGGTGGGTAGGAAGGAGCCCCCCTCCAGGGCCTGGAGAACGGAGGAGGTGCTGAGCCCACGCCCACAGAATGCTGCCCCCTCTCCAGTGCTCATCACCATGGTGAACGCGCTGAGCGTCCGGCTAGGCAGCTACATCCAGAATGTGTTCACAGCGGCCAAGCTGGTGATCGTGGCCATCATCATCATCAGCGGACTTGTCCTCCTGGCCCAAGGTGACCTTCTGCGGGAGGGTGGGGTGGGCATCACAAGGCACAGGCCTCCTTTTTATCTGGCGGTCTTGCTGCTGAGCCTATCTCTAAGGCAGGAGTTCAACGGAAAGAATCTTTAGTTTCCCAACTTTTCAGAGTTTGTTTAATA